AATTGAAGGAGAAAAAACATATGATCATCTCAATAGATGCAGAAAAAGCCTTTGACAAAATTCAACACCCATTTATGATAAAAACCCTCCAGAAAGTAGGCATAGAGGGAACTTACCTCAACATAATAAAGGCCATATATGACAAACCCACAGCCAACATTGTTCTCAATGGTGAAAAATTGAAACCATTTCCTCTAAGATCAGGAACAAGACAAGGTTGTCCACTTTCACCACTATTATTCAACATAATTTTGGAAATTTTAGCTGCAGCCATCAGTCAAGAAAAAGAAATAGAAGGAATCCAAATCAGAAAAGAAGTAAAGCTGTCACTGTTTGATACTATACATAGAGAATCCTAAAGATGCTACCAGAAAACTACTAGAGCTAGTCAATGAATTTGGTAAAGTAGCAGGATACAAAATTAATGCACAGAAATGTCTTGCATTCCTATACACTAATGATGAAAAATCTGAAAGTGAAATTAAGAAAACACTCCCATTTAGCATTGTAACAAAAAGAATAAAATATCTAGGAATAAACCTGACTAAGGAGACAAAAGACCTGTATGCAGAAAACTATAAGACACTGATGAAAGAAATTAAAGATGAAACAAACAGATGGAGAGATATACCATGTTCTTGGAATGGAAGAATCAACATAGTGAAAATGACTCTACTACCCAAAGCAATCTACAGATTCAATGCAATCCCTATCAAACTACCAATGGAACCTAGGGGAAGAACAAGAATAAAGACGCAGACGTAGAGAATGGACTTGAGGACACAGCGAGGGGGAGGGTAAGCTGGGACGAAGTGAGAGAGGGGCATGGTCTTATATACACTACCAAATGTAAAATAGGTAGCTAGTGAAGCAGCCGCATAGCACAGGGAGATCTGCTCGGTGCATTGTGACCACCTAGAGGGGTGGGATAGGGAGGGTAGGAGGGAGACGTAAGAGGGAGGAGATATGGGGATATATGTATATGTAGATCTGATTCACTTTGTTATAAAGCAGAAACTAACACACCATTGTAAAGCAATTATACTCCAATAAAGATGTTAAAAAAAAAAAAGGCAATTAAGAGTCAAAATAAGACAAGACACAAAGAGGACTAGAGAAGATGGAGACAGTAGTCAGATCCTATGACTGCCCAGATTTTGAAGGATTCCAGTTGTAGTCTGTGTATTTCCTTAAAAATAAGCCCCCACCCCACCTTCACCATCTTTTAAAATGAAAATGGCCCCTGTTCCCTGTAATTGAGGTGGCACCTGTTTTTTGTATTAATCAAGACTCTTTCTATTGCAAGTAACAGAAAGGTAACTAATCAGTTGGAGCAAAAAGTCCAGGGACCATGCTTCTGGCACGGCTAGATTCACATACCATCAGGAATCTGATTCTCCATCGTTCAGTCCACTCTCCTTTGTGTCTGTTTCATTGTCCAGGGTTTCCCCTCTTGATGGCAGATATGGCCATTGGAAGTTTCAGGCTTATTTTGTACTAGTTTATCATCTCAGAAGAAAAAGTTTCTCTTTCCAGTAGTTTCAACAAAAGTTCTGTGGCTGATGCTCACTGGAAAGTGCTGAGTAGCTTTCAATCACTGAAATTGATTGGAAAACTGTGATTGACTGGGCTTGGTCACATGCCTGCCCTTGAACTAGGCTCAGACCACACACACCACATAGGAAAAGAATGAGGGGAAATGCTCTAAGAACGGTAGAGATTATGAATTGCCCTCCATAAGTTTTTGTCAGATTCTTTCTGGGTAACAAAACACCCACATATTAGCCAGGAATGTAGCCACCTAGAATCAAGACTATATTTCAAAGGATCTCTTGAAGCTAGAAAGCCAGGTGACAATGTTCAGACGAACTGAATACAAGTGGAAGTGATGCAGGTCACTTCCTGGAAACATCCTCAAAGGGATATGTCATGATTTTCTGTCCTTTCTTCCTTACCTGTGTCCAGAATGTGGACAGGATGGCTGGAGATGAATAAGTCATCTTGGACTTACATGGTGATTTGGGGATGGAGGAAACACATGGTAGAGCCTGGGTCCTTAACACTGTGGAGCCACATCAGCACTGAATCATCTTTATCTTCTTTTATGTGATAGAAAAGTAAACATATGTCTTGTTTAACTGAGTGTTATTTGACAAACCACACAACCCAACGTAATCCTACCAGAACCCCCCAAAGGAAAATCCTGGCATTCCTGGAAAAAATAGGGGCAGGGATGATGCGCAGGCATGTCCACTGTCTCACTCCCTGAAAAATTTTATCTCAGTCATGGTCATTACTCTGGTTGGAAATTTGAAGAGGTAAATCTGCCTGGCTCTGATGTATCTGAATATCCAGAGATTTCAGAGTTTATGAATTCAAAGACAAAACTAATTTTAAAGTTGAGCCAAGCACAGAATTATGAGAAATAACCATATCCATGTTGTTTTTTCCCTAAAGAAAAAAGCACTTGTCAGAGTGGATTAATCCACATTTAACCTTGTAACTTTAACAGTGAAGTGTAGAAATAGCAGGCTCACAATGTGGAAAACTGTTGAGAATACATATTAGAACTTCTTTCAATAAATTTGTTTTGACCTTTTTATTAAGAATTTGAGTGAGGAATTAATTAAATTGTAATCAAACACAGAGATGGGATGATGCCAATAGAACGGTTCATGCCTTGAATAATGGAATCAGAATTATGCAACGTCAGAACCCCAAGAGGTTTAAGTTTGTCATACTCCCCATTGTACAGCTGAGAAAACTGAGGCTCAGAGCTGTCAACCCATTGCCCAAGGTATACCTGGAATCTAGGGTAAAGCTGTTGGCATTCCTTCTTTCTACTTTTTCTTTTTGAATAAATGAAAGCTGTGTCATGATTCAAGATTCAAGTAGACATTTTTTTTAATGGAGTGAGATGATGAGATAAGATACAATTTAATCAGGTCAAATGTGTAAGGACCTACATGCCGGGTCCAAAAAAGCCCACTGAACAAGCACAGTATGGGGTAGATGTGCCTTAATCAGCAGCACTTGTAAGAAACACTTAGAGACATTACTTGGCTGAAGCTTGAGCTGTCAGCAGTGTGATGTAGCTACAAGAAAAAGATGATGGAGTCATGGGAGGCATTACTAGAAACAGAGTTTACGGAAGGGAGGGGAGAGTCCTGTTGAAATTTTCAGTCTGTTGAGCTTTTCAGTCTACACTGGGGAATTCCTCATTCAGTCCCAGGTGTCAGACTTCAGAAGTGACATAGACAAATTAGTTCGGATCTAGGATGGAATTATTTGAGGAATGGTCAAAGGAACTTAAGAAACTGCAAAGCACTCTAACCAAGAGCTTGAATCTTGGAGTCCGACTGCCTGGGTTTCATCCCAGCTCATCCAATTACTGAGTATGTGTTCATTAAACCTTAATCTCACTGTCTGTAAATTAGGAATTATAATAGTACCTGTCGCTGAAGATAAATGAGGTAGTGAATGCCAAGTGATTTGCATGTTACTGGCACAAAACAAGCACTCAGTAAGTGTTAGGATTAAGGAAGCAACGTGATGTGAGGATAATGGTAACAATCCCATAGGTTGTGGTGAATATTAAATGAGCTAACACATGCCCAGTGCTTGAAACAAACTTCCTAGTTGTTATCATCTGTAGGAGAGGGATTGGCCTAAGGTTTCTAGGGATGGGTCTGGTTTGGGGACAGACTATTCCCTTAGCTTGGGCTAAAGTCCACAGAGCCTGACCAGATTATTCCCCGAGGAAGGACCCTGAAAAAGGATGTTCAGTTTGGGGAGAGAGAGGGGTGCAGTGAGGGTGGTGGTCACTCACACATTTCATGGGGGTACTCGGTGAACACCTGGACAGGATGACACGGCACTGTGGAGTGACAGCCCAGCTGCATTCTTGGCCATGGTCATTTAGGCCTGTCTGATGAACAGTTCTGATCCGCTAGTGTGGTCACGCAAGGCAGTACTGGAGTTGGTCACTCAAGCCTGTTCTGGGCACGGTCACTGATAATTGTCCTGTGGGCAGTCACTTAGGAGCCATTCGAGGAGCAACTGCTCCTGGATAAGTCCTCCGTGCCCTCTGTCTCCTCCTCCCAGTGCCACTGAGTGCAGAAGTCCTGGACCTTAGGGACGCTGTGGGGACCCTGGTCAGCTCCCCGGGGAGCAGCCCACCGCTAGGGGGCGGCGGCTGAGAGGGACCTGCCCTCGGGGAGTCCGCTCCTTTGGGGCTCGCTCTTCCTCCAGGCCCAAGGAGAGGTGGAGTGACAGTGGGTGGGGATGCACGCTTCATGGGTGTGAGAGCGAGCCGCCTGGGTGTGAGTCAGCGCGCGGGGCTCCAAGGAGCTCCACGGATAGTCACGGAATCTCACTCACGCTCGGCTCCTCCGCCCATCCCGTCTAGAGCGTGTGTCCCGGTCCTGCGCCTGCGTGCGCACAGCGCACGATGTCCGATTCCAGGCTCTGGGTGTCCTTTGGGTGAAACGCGGGTGGGCGGAAGAGGGAGTGTCCCTGTGGCTGTTTCTGCGCCCAGGTTAGATTTCTCTCTCCCCTCCCCATGTGGGGTCTGGGGGTGTATCCCGCTCAGGTACGCGTGTACCTGTGTTTGTGCGTGCGTGTGTGTGTCAGTGTGGTGGGACCTGTTATCAGTGCAGGGTGCTTGCGTCTGTGCCCGGGTCTCTGTCTGGGTCTGGATGTTGGCGCAATCTCGAACCCCTGGGTGTCGGGAGGCCCTGGTGGCCAGGGTATCCAGCCTCCAGAAGGAGCAAATGCCTCGACACCTTCCTCTCACCACCCCAAGCTGGCCCGGGCTCCTTAGGGAGCTGCCTACGTGGGGAGGGCCCGGGGTGGTGTGTCCCTGGGAGGGATAGAGAGTGGGGGCCAAGGGGCTGGCCGGGTCCCCGGGCGGGGCGCGAGCTCGGGGGACCCGCGCGGCTGACGTCAGGCGACTCCTTAAATAGAGCCGGCAGCGCGCTCGGCCCCGCATTTCTCGAGGAGCCGGAACGCGGCCGGCGGCCAGCGCCACCGTCCGGCCCGCCCGCCCGCACCGCCGCGCCGCCGCCGAGCGTTCGGGGCGCCGCGGCGCGAGGATCCGGGATGGGGCTTCGGGCGCTGGGCGCGCTTCTAACCCGGCGGACGTGAGAGCCGAGGAGCGCCGGGCGCCGCCCCGCTGCCCGGAGCCCCAGAGCCCAGGACGCGGGGATGTCGGAGGCGCCGCCGCCCGTTCCCCGAGGAGACGCCGCCTCCGGGATCCCCGGGCATGGTGCGCGCCCGGGCCGGCAGCTCCCGGAGAAGACGGCGCCCCCTATGCCCGACCCCCGTGGCCCGGGCCGCGCGGCTCGAGCCCTCTAGGCGGCCGCAGGGCCCCAGCCGCTCCGCCGCCGGCACCCCCTCGGAAACCATGATCCCCGGCGCGGGCCCATGGAGCCATGGCCTATAGGGTCCTGGGCCGTGCGGGGCCACCTCAGCCGCGGAGGGCGCGCAGGCTGCTCTTCGCCTTCACGCTCTCGCTCTCCTGCACTTACCTGTGTTACAGCCTCCTGCGCTGCTGCGACGACCTCGGCCAGAGCCGCCTCCTCGGCGCGCCTCGCTGCCTCCGCGGCGCCAGCGCGGGCGGCCAGAAACTTCTCCAGAAGTCCCGGCCCTGCGATCTGCCGGGCCCGACGCCCAGCGAGCCCAGCGCTCCCAGCGCGCCCGCCGCTGCCGCGCCCGCCCTTCGCCTCTCCGGTTCCAACCACTCCGGCTCGCCAAAGCTGGGTACCAAGCGGCTGCCCCAAGCCCTCATTGTGGGCGTGAAAAAGGGGGGCACCCGCGCCGTGCTGGAGTTTATCCGCGTGCACCCGGATGTGCGGGCCTTGGGCACCGAGCCTCACTTCTTCGACAGGAACTACGGCCGCGGGCTGGACTGGTACAGGTAAGGAGGGGAGCCCCACTCAGCGCGCCCCGGCTCCAATCGGCTCCGTCCTCTGAGCCATCTCCTGCGCTTTCGCTTCCCCTTAACCCGGCTCGCTGAGTGGGCTCCGGTTGACACGTGAGGGGGTGGGGGAACTCTAGCAGAAGGATTTATCCAGAACTTCCCAGTGATTGTACAGACGGTCCCCGGTTTCTTGAACGGCGAAGGACAGCTGGCTCTGGAATCGCCGGAAGGGAAGAGAGATCTCTGGCCTGACCTCGGGGCGAGTTGGAGGGCGTCTGGGGTAAAGCCGAGTGCCCAGGGGAGGGGCAGCCGGGACAGGTGCTGCCTGAACACAGCCCTCTCCTGAGTCTCGCCAGATCTTTCCTGGCATTTGACGGACCCAGAGAAGGGAAAGTCCGAAGAGGGCCCCCTCGCGGCAGGGCTCTGCGCTTGGGCAAGGTCCCCGGAGTTCAGGCCTAAGGAGAGGGCATCCCCTGAGGTGTGGGCATGACAAAGGCCCCTTCCGGAGTCTCATTCTGAGCTCCAGGTATTTGCTGCTGTATCTGGCCTGAGACTCGCAGTCACTCTGACCCTGAATCAGTGTTTTTGAATAGTGGAAAGGACCCTGGATGTGAGTCTTGGCTCTGTCACTTAGCTTGAGCAAATTCCTAAAATTCATTGAGCCTTGATTTTCTGGTCCATCACAAGGATCAGGAAAAGTCCCTGCCCTGTGTGCCTCTCAAGGTCTTTCTAAGCGCTCTAAAAGTGTCAAAGAGACACTTCGCACTGGGCGATGCTTCTAAACCAGCAGCCAGGGTGTGGAATTTGGAATACTTGTAGGTACCTCAGATGAAGGCTGGCTAGGGTCATAGGGGCAACCAGTCATAGGCAGACTGTCCACTCCCCCACTGCACTGCCAGGGATGACAGTCACCCAAGCTGGTGGTGCCTGGGAATAGCCTGAAGCTTCTGGAAGGTAGTAGCCTCCACTGTTCAATGCCCATTTCCCTCCCAAGCCCTGTATGGTGCTGAAGTGTAGGACTAGCCCATGTGTGGGCTGAGCAGGGCATCCCTGGGGGTGGTGTAATGTATGTGGTCCCCATAAAACCTGGGTCACAAATTTCTCCCCATTTGCCTGACCCCTTGAAGACTTGCTAGAAATGCCTGCCTAGTAATGGAACTGGGGAGGGGTAACATGGTAGCTGACACAGTAGCTGAGGCTATTCTTTAAAAATTTTATTAAAGTAAACCCTCTAGGGAGTAGAAAGTCATCAGCATATTGAATAAAGGACAACTTCATTAGAAGGAGGACCCCACTGGGCTCATAATAAGGACCCTGGATTTGTAAGAATCGGGGCAACAGGGCCAACTTGTCCCCTTTGCCAGGGAGCCCTGGCCTGCAGTGGTCATGGCTTATGGGACCACGGGTGGGACATGCCCCTTCCTCAGGAAGCAGACACACAGTCCATCTCCAGTGGAGTGCAGCAAGGGCACAGCTGGTCTGTGGGTGGCCCCAGCACCTTTATGCTGGCTCTATGGAATAGGGAGGGTGGCACAGAATGGCAGGTCTGGTGCTTTCCAAGCTGTGACCCCCCAGGCATCCCATCTGGGTGTACGAAGTATTTGAGGACAGCGTCTGAGCCAGACTGTGGGGTGAGAGAGGCAAACACATCTAACAGCAGAGCACGATGTGGGTCAGCCATGGCCATACTCTAATGCACGGCAGGGTTTCCTCGATGGAAAATCTAAAGATCATTATGAAACCCTTTGCCAAAGTGAAGTGCCTTTTAAGTGCAAAGTAGCAGAATTGTGAGCACTGGCTTTTATTGAGCCCTCCACTAAACACCTATTCCTTGCACCCAGCCCCTGCACTCCCTCTTCTGTGCTCTGCCACCAAACACCATACCTCAGGCTTCCTTCTCGGAGCCTGTGTCATTCAGGGATGGCTGCTTTTTATTTTTAACCTTGGCATGTGTGATTCTAAGCCAGCTTAGCTGTGAACCTTAGAGATGGGAGCCGTGCCTTTTTTTTTTTTTTTTTTTTTTTATAGCACATTTGGATTCTGCTAAAATTCTCAACTGAGTCTTGGTAGGTTTTATTTAACATCAAGCATGCTGACAGCTCCACTTCTCTCTCTACTACTCCCCACTTCCCAGGGTCTGTCTTACCGTCCCTTTCTCCCTTTATATTTCCGAAAGAACATTTGGCCTGCAGGTCTGGTACTAACAGCCCCATCCCTGTCACTTCCCCAGGAAGGCTAGGAGCCTCTAGCATCAGGGGGGGGCGTGTGATTTGTGCTTATTTGGGTTGCAAATCCACACCCCCAGAGCCCAGGGTTTCGAGTGTGGATGGTCATTTCTGCATAAGGTAATACTGCCCCATTTGGATGCTGTTTCCAGACATTTCTCTGTATGTGATTTACTCTTTATTATCACTCAAGTAATATGCATTAGTTGCAGAAGTGATGGGGATAGATGGTTTTCTTTAAAACCCATGTTCTCACTTTATTCCTGAATTCCATGACTTAGGACGGCAGGTGGTAAGATGCTTCTCTCTCTGCCTGTTGCCCTTATCATTTCACAGATGTGAAAACTGCAACCCAAAAAGAGAGCATCTGGAATGGGACCCAAAGCAAGCTGATGAAATTTAGGCCCAAAAGTCATTGGCATGCACTGTCCCACCAAGATTTACACATACACGCTGTGTGTGTGTGTGTGTGTGTGAGAGAGAGAGAGAGAGAGCTCATGCGTGTGTGCATTTCCAGCCAAGTACTCTAACCAGTGTTCTACACAGCTTGCCACCATAAAGCCAGTGTCCACTGGGTAGACATGGCCAAAGAGCCCTTGCACCTATTGTAGGGGACTGTGTTTTCCAAAGGTAGAGTTGCAGAGTCGCAGGCAGTGGTTCTCATTATGATCTGCCCACCTTGAAGCCCCTGGGGATAATCTCCCAGGTCTGTAGGCCCCAGTCAGGTAGACAATGGAAAAATCGAAAGGAGAGACTTCTTTCTGTGAGTAAGTGGAGATAAACCAGGAGGTGACAAACGGTGCCTGAAGGCAGAAGGAAACAGCCAGAGAGGCACCACTGGCCAGAGACCAGGAGACAGAATCTGCACCTTCCTTACCCCCAGCCTGAATCCTCTCTTGGAACCAGCCCAGTTCAGGCCACCCTAGGAAAGCCCATCACTGAAGCTTACCTCACCTCTGCACCTGGCTAGCTTCCCCTCTCCCGATTTGCTCCACATACAGAAGGGTCCTGGCCTTAAGTTCTACTTTCAGCAGCTGGGTGTGCAGGGTGGGGTCGGCTAGCTGCTCGGACAGGGAGGCAGGGTGAGACCATGCTACCAAGAGACGCAGGATAGGACCTGCTGTCAGAAGGCAGGAGATAGTCCCCTATGCTGGGTAACTGGAAACAGAGTGAACTTCCTGAGTCCTGGCTTCCTCGTCATATGATGGCACCTGTGGTAACTATCGCAGAAGGTTGTTTTGAAGAATGAATGAAACCCTGTGTGTGAAAGTGCCCTGGAAAATTCCCTGGTGTATAAACATAAGACAGTAATGTTATCACTGTTACCACTGTTACTCCACTAACACTCCTTTTACCACCATCAGTACTATTAGCATGAAAACCATCAGTTTCTTTCCCCACTGCTGTTACTACACGGGGCTGAGGAATTAATTAATTGCTGGAAAAGTAGTTTCATGAACGCCTGGGAGGGGTCCTGGCCTTACGTTCGACTTTCAGCTCTGCTTTAATTGTCCTTTTCCCCCTCCCTGCCTTTCTTCTCTCCCTCATCCTGCATTGGTAAAAAGTCACTTCTCATTTCTGGGTGTCAGTTTGCTCACCTTTAAAATGAGAATGATATCTGACAATGTATGTGAAAATGCTTCTCCCAATCTAAGATTATATTCGGGATGCATCAAAGGTTGAGTATGAGACAGAGTATTCAGGGCCTTCATCTTTCATAAAGAGGCATAAGTTGTGCATTGTCCAGGAGTTTTTAAAGTCTTAGGGGAAGCTGAATTTTGTGTAAAGTGTCCTCCGTTTTGCTAGTTTTCAGCGACTGGGGTTTGGGGGTGGCAGTGTGAAGACGAAGTGAATCTTCTCTAAATGCATTGAAATGCCACCAAGAGCAAGTTAATACGTGATAATTGACTCCATGCTCTGGTGTCAAAACTGTGATAGATGAGCCTGTTCTGTAAATTTTAGACTCCACAAGTCTGGTTATTTGTTCAGTGGCAGTGGTGTTCTGCGGGTGGCGTAAGGCAAAGAAGCCACAGCATTTGCCCTAGAGGCAATTGTCTAAGTGAGAAAGAGAATTAAAAGCACAGAATAAGGTCTATCACCCTATCCAGCTCACTTCAATCAAGAAATCAAATTTCAAGAACGAAGCCAAACTCTAGAAAGACAAACTTTAAGAAGAAATAAAACCAAAGGTAGAAGGCAGGGGAAGTAATGAATGTGGAAGGCTTTACCACCCTTAACAAACTGATGGACACATGGCACAGATGGACCCGTGCTTGCCGTGTGCACAGATGTATGTGCGCACACAGCTCACACGTGGGCACCCGCACACACAATTCCAGTGTCTGTGCAGACACGTCTTCATGAGGAGTTTTCCTGCTTCTGTCCAGGAGGATGTCACACACGCTGATTAAATGGATCCGCTGAGTCCATAAATCCTCTGTCCGCCTTGTAGGTCTCTGTCAGCCTCGCAGCAGCTGGAGATATAGTAGTTAGTTCCAGCACATGTACAGTTCTTGTCAGGCACCGAGGAACATTCAGGATGGGCAAGAAGGACTGTCATCGCTCAAGGAGGCTTTTTGAAGCCTGGCTTTACTTCCCCCTAGAGCTGGGTGGGACAGTGGAAGAGCTTGGAATGAAGACTGGGCTTTCCCCATGGCCTTTGGCATGTGGCTATTTAGGGGGGAAGGACCCGGACCAGTCCCAGTGCTATTCAACCGGCACACACTGTTACATCTGTTTTGGATGTTAAAATATTACATAGATTCTAAGAAG